AAATTGCTGGGGAATATTCCATTTTCAAATAAAAGTGATTTTTTTCAATTGTGTTTATGTAAATGTCATATTAAAGTCTACAAATGTACCTATTTATTTTAGATGCCACACAATTCTTGAGAGCTTATAGACAAAAAAAAATAACAACCACAACAATTATCACATTTAATTTTTTTCTGTAGTTGACACCAAGCAGATCTTCTTGGATAGGTAGGTAGGGGTGTCTATCTGTCTATCTACCAATCTATCATTGCAGGTGGCAAACTTGAAGAAAACCCCTGCAGATCATTTTAACCATGAAATCAGAAATGTTTGGAGGAAAAGCATTTTTTTCATACTGTTTGGTCATAAATCATTTAGGACTTTATAGGTATTGGCCAACAGTTTGAAGTGTCCCCCAAACTGTTTGCTAACCTTTGTGCAATAGTAGAATGGGCATGTTAAAAATGGCCAGTTCTCAAGGAAAGCTCCATGTGTATATGTTGTGGTTTTGCAGAATTGCAGCAGGAGATTACCAGGCAGATTATATGATATGGTTAAAGGCATGGGAAATTTAAAGCTGACAAGTTATGAGCAGTGAGCATCCCCATATTATGAGCCTGCTTCTTATAGTGGTGTCTTATTTCCAGGTAGAGCAGATTGGCCTATTATAACAAATATTATGAAACAAATGTAGTGTAATTTAAATCTCCAGAATTAGAATTGATTTGTCTAGTAAAAAACAGACATCAGGTTGGGAAGTTGTACCAGAACAAGTCAGTTTAGATATCTTACCTTTCCCTCCCACTATGAGAGTATACAGTATTCTCAATCATCTGCATTGCTTGTTGCTATAATTTCACTGTGTCAAGAGGCAAAAGCAAATACCTAGTCATAGAACTGGTAATATGTATCCTTGAAGTTAATTAGTGAAATGTAAACCATAAACTTTGAAAGGTATGGCTGGAAGTGATGAAAGCAATAGTTCAATTGAAAAGCACTATATCAGGGAAGACTATCATAAAGAGCTCTGTCTAGGCTTGAATTTCATTTCTGAAACATCCATTTCCATCATCAAGAATGAAGCAATGTTTCAAAAGTCAGATGTTGCTGAAAGCCTTTTGTGGTTATGCTTATTGTTGCTACAGTTCTTTTTCTGTTTAGCAAATTGTGACCTCGCCTCAGAAATATACATGGATATAACAAACTTTAAAATATGTTTTTAAATTGGAAGGAGCCAAATGCATAAAGTAGAAAAGCAAATGTTTATTTTTCATCCTTATTTCAAGGATAGTAAAGTAACTTTCCCCACTTGTTTTTGTAAACAGGGGAACAAGTTGACCTGAGAGTGGTAAACAGAAAGCTAACTTCTCTTTATGCACATAGGATGATTCACTTCTGAACTCTTGCAAGGCAAGAACTTACTAACTTGTTTATGGACAAGTGGCTATCTGCAAATGAATCTGCAAAATTTTTCTTGAGAGGACAAAGTGCTTTGTTATCCTGACCTCATTGCCAGTGATTTACATTATATTGTCTCTCTAAGCACCAGTGATCTGTTGTGACTTTAAGGTGCATTTACTGCACCTAAGTCTGCTAATACTCTGCAAAAATAGCAGATTAAGCAGGGATTTTTGATGCAGCTTAGTGTGGTGTAACTAAAGAAATAGGAAACGTGGACAAGGAATGGCTTTGCTGTTTTATGTGTCTTCCTCAATTTTTGGTTGTCTGCCAGAGGCCTGAGAGTTTGAGGGTTCTATGCAGTATCTCAGCTGTTCCTAACACTGCACTCTTCCAAATAAAGAGCTCTAATACCATTCCTGGGATCTTTTGGAGCTACTCTTCCAGTTTAGGAGTCACAGCCTCAAGTGCTCCTACCACCACTTTGGCTTTATCAGCTGTGATGATGCACCGTTTAGAATGCAGTCCTGTAGGTTACTTCGGCTGATTGCCAGCTGTCAGCAGTTTGGCAGTTCTATTCTCACCAGCTCAAAGTTGGCTCAGCCTTCCATCCTTCCAAGGTTGGTAAAATGATTATGGGGGGCAATATGTTGACTCTGTAAAGCACTTACAGAGGGCTGTAATGAACTGTAAAACAATATATAACTCTAAGTGCTATTGCTATTTTTAGTTTCCACATACTCACCAGTTCCTCCTTCGGGCCCTGGTACTTCTTCAACTTTTTATACTCCTTTCTAGTGTTGCTGTCACTTGGCACATCTATCACCACAATCAGATATTTAATATTAAGAGCACAATGCGATTTAGTCAGAAATGGGCCTCTGGAATTTAATGAAACTTTCCACCTAGAATTTTAAACAAAAGTCTTTTTTAAAAAAAACAAAGTACCAGGTATACTAGGAAAAAGAATGAAAGCATGAAGAAAAGAATTATAATTTTGATGAAAAGCACAATAATAATAATATGCTAGTAATATAGGTCTGGTTTACAAAAGTAAAAAAAAATGTGAAAGCTTTTTTAAAAGTATGTTTTAAAAGATCTATTCTCATTTTTCTTTTATTACAACATGTATTCAAAAAGCAATTAAGAAGAAGTTGAAAAAGAAAGGGTCTGTAAAGAAATTAGAGTCAGTTTAGAGTAGAGATTAAGGGACCAGGCTAAAAACTGGGAGAGTTACTTTATAGGTATAAAGCCAGCTGGGTGATCATGGGCCAGTCACTTCTCTAGGAAGGAGGCAAAGAATCTCCTCAACATCTGGACATTCTGGACTTCTGAATATTTTGCCAAGAAAACTGCAGGGAGAGTTTTCTATACATAGAAAATTGTTTTACAAACTGCATAAAATGAAATAGAGATGGTCCACGTTTAGTGACCACAACTGGGATTGGCAACTTGATTGTTAAGTGAAACAGCAACTACGCCTATGATCTTTGTTTCACAGACCTTCAAAGGTAGTAAGTTTGAGGATTGGTCATAAAGTTACTTTTTCATCAGTGTAACTGAATGGCATCTAAATGAGGTAGTCGCTAAGGTAGGATTACCCATAATCAATATTACAGTAGCATAACAGCGATAGTGCATCGATTTGGCAATTTAAGGCCATTGTCAAAATCAAATCAATAATCAGTATTAGCCAAGACTGCCAACATGCTACTAGCAATTAATAGGACTTTCAGTCTTATCTGAAGAAATATGTCCTTATAACAAATCAGGCAAAATCTAGTATTTTAAAATCTTATGATAGGATAAACTTTTGGATGTAGTTCAAGTCCATGTGAAGCATTAAAGTCCATAAATTATTTTCAGGTTCAATTAAATTCAGTGTCATAATTTTTTTAAAAGAAATACAAAATTGATTGTTTTTACATTGATACATATTCCCATAGTTTACTTCACTATTAAGAAGGAATTATGTGCAATTCTTAGAAAGAAAGAAACTATTCTAGCAGCTGTTATCATGGACAGGGGCAGCTCTGTATATTTTGTAGGATAACTAATTTTTCTGTTAAGCCCTGCTTAGAAAAAAAACCTGTTTCATCTTGCACTGAAGTATCTTCCAAAATTGTTGAGTTTATAAACATTTCTGCCAAATATAGAAAAATTGTTATTACATTTCCTGCATTTTTGAACATTAATTATTTTGGTAATTAACATTAATTTAAAAAATGAAAAACTGGAATGTATCCATTTTCCCTGAGTAATCCTCTTTTTTTTTCAAAAAAATTATAGAAGAGCTTTTAAAAGTTACTGATATTTAATCAACTGATCTGTTGTCTTTTTTTTTAAAGGAGACTTTCATTTCATTTTACCCACAGTACTTAAGAAATGAGGTATAAATTATGGGACCAGCAACTAAGTGCAGCGCTCACTAAGTGGGAAATCATTTAACATTCCTGCTGGAAAAAGACAAGATTGCAGTACTCAGTTTCACACCTTTGACTTTTGTTGCCATTCTTTTGTTAGCATTCTCCTGCCATTTGGAATGCCTGAATGCCTGCTTCCTATCTTGAATTAAAAGCAGTCCAATCTTGCTGACAGCCTAGGATAGGGAAATATGGACAAAATATGCAAACAGGTTGAAATCTCTTTCTCTCCAATTTCTCCAGTCTATGAGGTGTTGGGGGAGAAAAAAGGCAAGTGATTTTTATGGACTATCTCTCCTTTGACTTTGACTTTGCCAGTGCAATCACGTTGCTTTCAGTGTCTAGAATAGCAAACAGCTTACTCTCTTGAAATCCCTTCCACTCTCTCTGCTCTGCAAAGGGGAAAAGGTCAAGCAAAAGAGTAATTGTATTCAGAATCCACTTGATTGTTTGTCTTCTCCCCCTTGCAAACACTTCAAGGGAATCCTGTAAGCTTTTTCATAGCACGCTCACAGTGAGGGTGGGGGATATTGTAATTATTGTAATTATAATTATTGGAAGTGATGATATGCGAAGAGCTTTGTTCCTACTCTTTCTGTATGGGTTTTCTGTCTATAATTTTTCTGATCTCAAACCAAGGAATGCTTATGTTACGGTTGTCCAACAACAAAAAATTCCAGACCTTATCATTGGTGATTAAAGTAATTCTTCCTTTTTTTTCATTTGCCTAATCTGCTGTAATCTCTGCCTGTTAGTCATGGCCTCCCAAGGTGCTTCCCAGGTTGAAGATAATTGATATTTAGCAGTGACGTTTTCTATAATTATGAAAGTGTACATGGTATCCTTTGCAACCTTCCCAAGTGTAGATTCATTGTCTCCTTTCCCCCTCTACAATATATTCTTAAATCCAGACTTCCCCAAAGTTCTGGCTTTGCAGACCGGTGGTGTGAGTGGTGAGCAAGTGTACATGCTCAGCTCCATTTGCATGAGGAGTGGGCTTGCTTGGCCGCCATTTGTGCAAAATGGAGTGTGCACACTCCCTGCTGCTCACACAAGTGGGAATGCGTGTGCATGCTTGCCCTCTTTCACAACCCAGTTCCGAACAGCTCAAAGCCTGGTAGTGGGCCGTAGCCTGCTTTAATCATCTCCCCTTAAGAATTAATCCTTTTTATTTCATTACTCTCTTTTTACCTACAGTGAAAACCGTCATCTGCAAGTAAACATCACTAACCCTGTCCAGTGCAGCATGCATGGGCGAAAATGCAGCATCTCAGTGAAAACCAAAATTAACCAATCAGAGCCAAACTTCATCAAGGATCGAACAGGTTTCATCCTCTGGGTTCCTGAGAATTAATTTTACTCTTGTCACTAAGCATCCTTCCACAGTCTACTGATGTCTTCAAACTTAGTGCCTTAAGTTTTATGGAGGGAAGAGTATGAAAGTATTGGTCTGCAACACAAATCTAGACATTATTAATGAATTGAGAACTTGAAATGCTTCCTCCATTAAGCCAACTATGATTTTAAATTATTGTATGATCCATTGTGTACCAAAGTAGCTTTTATTAATGAATTCTCCAGATATATAAAATTATTGTAGAGCTAATAGTTGAGACTGCAATAGAGGAACCAAACGTTTGTATGAGAAGAAACAGAAGGACTCACTCTGGATTTACAAACACCAAATCTTAATTTATAAATGGGAGCTATATTTGGGGGAAAGAGATTTTCTATAAGATAGTTACAAGAGGCTGGAAATTATTTCCCTGAAAGCTACTCCATCCCTTCAGTCTTTTTTCCAAGGAAGTTTCCTTTGACACTCTGTGTGTATTTAGGTTGGGGATTCATTGTTTTGTTGGGTGGGTCCTATTGTGCAACTCAAAGGCTTGTTGAACTTATACTGTATTTTTATATAATCTCTTGGTGGGTCTGTCTTTTAACGTAAACCGGAGACTGTGAGTTCTAATTCCACCTTAGCCATGAAAGCAACCTTGGTGACCTTGAGCCAGTCTCTCTCTCCCCCACAATCTCCTTCCCCCCTCCTCTCTCTTCAACTCACTTCATAGGTTGTTGTGGGAAAAATAGGAGAAGAGGTGGGATATGTTCACTGCCTTATTTGTAAAAATAATAAAGGTTACAAATTTAAAAAAAAAACATTTCCCATCCCCCTTTCCTTTCAGTATTCAGCTTGGCTCAGATTCTCAATGACTGATTGTTGATGGCACTCCAATTGCAAGCATTGGAGCCCAAAGGTTGGGCCAATATATCATTAATGTGCTTTGAGCAGCTGGCATTATACTGGCCAGCTTAGACTTGTAGTTGCCTTTTGCTGCTTGTACAGCCCTCTGCTGAGGTGTAGTTATAGCCTTGTTAACAAGCCTTTGTTTCTTCTTGTGCCAAAAAAAAAAAACATGCTTCAAACATTGATGGAGAGCATCTTAAAACAAGGGAGGAGATTGCTATTTTGGGCCATTTAAAGGTAAATAGTTGTAAACCTGACACTGCTGGACAGGTCAGGACTTAAGTAACTATAACTGCACGCAACCTAAGAATAAAGCAATGATGGTAGAGCTAATTGCTTCAGTAAGCCTGTTTTTGTTTTAAGTGTGAGAATGCAGTATTTACCATTTCTGTGAGCTGGGGCACAAAATGGCAAACAAATGTTGCTTAACTAGCTAGTTAGAAGAAGTCCTGCTTGCTTCTGAGTCATTCTTAAATATGGCTCATTTCCTAAATAGGATTGTCTGCCTCTGCCCAAGATGAGTTACTGCTCTTCTTTTCAAATTAGCTTTTCAATGAATATTATTACTATCTCTATGCCTTTCTTTTCCCTTTTTTTTCCCACTGATGAGCCCAATCTTCTAGTATCTCCAAGTGCTCTTAAAAGGACTTCTTCAACCAAGTGCCTTCCAGGTAGGGACTCTCATTCTAAACCCCATGATTCCCAGCCCAAAACCATCAGGCTGTTATTTAGGCAGAATTAAATACAGGGCAGGTGGAACTTACAAAGCAGAATATGAGTTGCCTTGGAAGATCAATGTAACTGTAGAAATCTCTTCGTGTGTTCTCTTCTCCATTCCCCCAAAATGGCAGCACATTCATGATGAAAAGCAAGCGGTAGAGCCTAATCCTTCATTCCAACTAAAAAGCAAGCTAGCTTTTGATCAGCCCATCCAGCTAGACTGAGTATCTGGTCCTATCTCTACTGCCAATAGAGAAGTGGATTGCCTAAAATCCCTGGTGCCTTCAAGCGTTTAGTTTCAAAGCAGCTAAATTAGCCTCAGAAGATATAAAATTAGCACTTTTATTTAATATCCCAAAATAAAGGCTGGATTTTAATGATGACCAAATTTATGAAAACTGTATGAAAGATGAAATCTTTCCATACCAAGATACAAATCTATTAAGTTGATTATATAATGTGTAATGAAGTATTTTGATTTAAGTGAATTAACAGTATTTCTGTCTTTCTTGATTTGTGTGTATGGTTGTTGGGGCAGCAGATACATTATTCTGTTTGATTTTTTAAAAAGGTAGTTTCTGCTACCAAAACAGGAAGAGGAAATTCCTCCTCCACACTGTGCTTTGCAGAGCACCCAGTCAGCAGGAGAGCATAGAGAACTGGGCAAAGGTTTCCAGAGGGAAGAAAATCTTAAGTGTCTGAGCTGCTCATATGATACTGGATTCTACCTTACGTGTGTATTTCTGGATCTTATCTATAAATTAACTATTTCTTAATTGTATGCCTGATCTTTTAAGAATGAGGTAATCATGTAATTAATATTTTTAAATAGTTTACACAGAAATGTGGACACAAGTACTATTCATAATGAAGATGTATTTTTGTTTACATAATTGAAATAAAAGGACTATCATTTATACCCAACTCCATTTACTTGAGTTTGATTCTGCATTTTCTGAAATGTATTTTGTCTTTCTCTTTTCAGAGGAAAAAAAAAGAAAAGAAAAGAAAGCCGTGTCATAATTTCAACTAATCATTGTCATTTTTGCCAACTATGGTAATAGTCTTCTTCCCTATCACTTCCTTTTATTGCACGATTACATTAAAAAAATATGATCTCCTGATTTTTATTGATGTTTAAATCATGAGATTTCTAGGCAGTTGGTTAAAATAAATACCTATTTTTTGACTTGATTATGTACTCATTTAAAGTATAGCATCTGAGAGCCCACATCTATGAATCAAAGTAACTGACTCAGTTTTAAGATCACATTGGTTGAAACTTGTCATGTATCAAGATAAATTCAACTGTTTCCCCAAAGCTCCCATTATTTACCACTATTTTCCTTGTCATCTTCCCACCATAGACAGCTTTTTAAAAAATCCTCTGAAAATCATTTGTGTCATGGATGGTCAGTGCATTTTATTTTTAATCAGCAATACAAAAATAAATAAAAATAGGGAGGAATTAAGTTACAGGCACACACAGCTCTTTGACAGTCTTGTCATATTTATAAACCTCATACTTAGAAACACACTATAGTACACATACATACAAAAGACCATTTATAAATTAAGTAATAATAAGCAATACCACCAATTTTGGTCAACAAATATCTACAGAAGGGATTGCACGCTAAAAAAATCCAAAAACTTTTAACATACACAGACATATAGAATTTAGCAGATCCTGCTTTCTTTTCCCCCCACTTCCAAAATGTAGTTTTGAAGAATGTTCAAGTGGAAAAAAAATGGCACACTATTTGTGTTTTTTTCCTTTGAAAAAAATAGTTTAGAATAATGCTAAACATTAAGAACTGTGTACAGTTAATATCAGAAAATATCTAGAAGTCTTGAGATGAAATACATTGATTTGAAGAAATGAAGGTGTGGATGAAAGCAGTATATCTGCTTGAAATTTGTGGATGGTAAGTTATGATTCTTTTTTTTTTTCTTTTTACAATCAAGTGTTCTAAAGTTTTACCTGCTGTCAAAAGTCACAATGCTGCTTTTGGCATGCACAGTATTACTGTAAAGCAATAATGGAATGACAGAAAAGGATGTTTTCTTTTTCCTCTTGCCATAAGCATAGATTTTGTTCTAAAATGATTCATTTCGTACAGCAGCATATTAAAGTCTCACTCATTGCTCTTCTATATCAAGTACATCAGTTGTCTTCCCCACCCCCACTATAAAACAGTAAATATATAGGTTCAAGCCAAGATAGTTTTGCACATCAATTATACCACCAAGTCACATTTGCTTCCCATGCAGTGCAATCTAAAGCATACCTACTCAGAAATAAGTCTGATTCTTTGAATGCAACTTATTTCCGTGTAAACATGCAAAGGATTGCAGCTTTAAGCTTTCATATCCATATAAATACAACTGTGATTTGCTTTTATTTAAAGTCTTTTGTCTTTATTTAAAAGGAGAGGAAGGGCAAAAAGATTTGCTGTCATTTTTAACAACCAGGGGAATGATGCCCTTCAAGCACATTCCAGAATTTTGTCTGAGCCACTTTTGTAAATTATTCCAGAACTCAGCCATAATGCTGAATGAGAAACTGGGGTCTCCGAGGGAGACTGATATGATGATAGATACCACCCATTTCAGAGAAGCAAATTGTTTGCAGGGGAGATCTGTAGAGGAGCCCTCCCTTCCTCTATGATGCTCTATTTTACTTTAGAAACGCAACAGCAAGCTTAACAGTATCTCACTTAATGGCTCAGATTTTGGCCTAGCTTTTGAAGCAGTGGCAAGACCTGCCGAACAAACCCAGCAGCTACTTAATCATCATAACACATGCATTTTGGTTCCAATCTACTGCAGCCTCTTAGCTTTGGCCTTTTCAGATTTCACAGCTTTTAGTGTTCTTCTGTATTTTTAATAGTGCTTTGCTGTTTTCTAAGTTAATTGCAAGCCTATCCTATTTAAAGACACAATATAGTTCTCCCTCTGGCTATCTGCTAGAATGCCAGCATTCTCAGCCATAGCATTAGAAGAGCTTTCTAGAATATTTCTAACTTATCCTTTTATCCACAGCCTTCTTTACCCCAGAGTATTATTGCCTTTATACTATTTAACTGTCCAGCTTGTGAGAACTTAAAACAGTGAAGGAGATTACCTCCATTCCAAAAGTTCACATCTTCCACAGAACCCTAGACCTGGACTATTGACATTTAATACATATTATTAGTAACTGAGGGAAATTCAGTCTCCCCACTACACTTTTTTTTAAATATACTTTTGACTATCCCTGAAGATTAGAGTATTTTAACCTTTACATACTGTTTAGGAACTAGAGAACTAAACAAAATAAATATATAAGCATCAGAATTTAACATTAATCAAATATTTAGATGTTCAATGTGGGGGAAAAATATTGAAATTCTTAGATGGTCACATATAATTGTAAATCTGCAAGGTGGAAGAGAATGTCTCCAAGCATGGGAACAGATTTATGGCCGAAAAGAACCTTCTGCAATTTTACTCTACAAAATATCTGAATATTTCGTATCTGCTACAGGTTTAGATTACAACTTATCTTCACTCACAGTCCTCAGGATTTCCTTGTGCTTATTGTGGCTGTTACTATTTTTCATAAAGTATGAAGAGTTTTGGTTGGCTAAATGTACATGAATTATACTGTTCCGGCTGGGGCAGCAAGGAACCCCTTAGAAGAAAAGCATTTCTACACTGAAATTCAGCACCATTTCTTACATTTAATAACATAAGCCTAAGCATTTTTCAATAAATAATCGAACTGGGGAACTTTATTGCAGATGCTCAGAAAAATCTCAAGTGACTCAAAGTCAGTCTGTTCAGAACAGCAAAGTTATATTATGCAAACATCACCCCACCCCAAGAGAATTAACCATTTTTGACCAGTCAAATATTAACATGCATTACTTGCCACAAATCAATACCAGCTAGTACCTATTGCCTGGGATTATTTTGAAATCTCACCTTCCAACCCATATTGTGGCTTATATCTACCTTAGCAAGAAAAGATTGTCAAGTCTCATCTTCATCTTTTGATACTGATATTGAGAGAAAACCTAGAGAGCCTAAGTGGAAGGCCCCCAATGAAATGGGCGCAAGTGGCAATATCATATACAAATGAGCTGTGTCTCTTGTGTATTTCCTGACTTTTCCTTACACACTTTTGTTTCTCAATATAATCACACTGTCATGGAGTAAGAGTCCCTTCTGAAGGCCAGTACTGAGATGATGTCATCTTGTTGAAACTGGTGTACAAAGTAGTAATATTAAATTACTATTTTTAAAAAATCCATTCTTTGATCTCTTTTCTAGAATACCAGGTGCTAGAGCATCTACTAGATTTGGTCTTTTTCTTCTTAAGAATTGTAAATACTATGTTCCTCCACTGCCTTCCACTGTGAAGAAGTAAATCCTGCAAGCTAGTTCACCTCAATTCGCAAGGTATTTAGGACAAGCAAAAGGTGAAAGGATGCCATGATCCTGTATCATGGTACTTGCTTCTCCACTCTATTTTGCCCTCTCCTGGTTTACAATCTGGAAAAGAAGCCATATCCATCACATGCAGCAAAACTGAAAACCAAACAGGCAAACCCATTTCATTTTTTTTTGTCAGTGGTGATTCATAGAAGCCAAGGTAATAATGGTGGAGACCAGCAGTGGGTGGCTGATTTCTTTCAGGCCTGTCCAGTCTCACCTATGTGTCCTGGCTTGTATGGAAAAGAAACATAACATAAAAACAAGATAAATGAAAGGGTGAATGAGGGGGAGTTTTAGCTCACCGATCCAGGCCAATGAGCAGCCGGTTCTTCTCTTCTTGGCTGCTCTCGTTCTTCAGGTCAGCAAAGACCTGAGTGAAATAGTGTGGGTCAGCATTGATTTGCAACATTTTGGGACTCATGAGGTTGATGATGGAGAGGCAACGATCCCAAAATGCCTCTTTACAGCTCTCTACCAGAAAGGGTTTGAGTGGGTAGGAGATCTCATTGCCCATGTAGGAATAGGAGAGATAGAGGCAGGTAAGTAAGACAGCCTGAAGATCATGGTCCGTGGCTACTTCAGATGAAATGACATCCCGGCAAAGCATGTACAAAAAGACCACGTTGGCTGGAGTGATGAAGCCTTGGTCTTGCCAGCCTTGCAAGAGGAGAGATCGGTCCACGCTTCTGAGCCACAATACTGGGTCGGTGGGAGAAAGGTGCTTCAGCCTGTAGCAGCGTCTACAAAGGAATGCCCCCAAGCATCTTAGTAGCTCACTGGTTGAGGCTTGGACAAGGACCCTCTTGGGGGTGCCAGATGAGTTGCAGCTGGGGTGAGGTGTTTTCTTGACAGAAGAAACGGTGCCCTTGGAGCTGGAGATCTGGTGGCTTGGAGCTGTAGGCTGACCACCCTGGTTCTGGGCAAAGGTGGACAGATTGGCACAAGACAGAGATTTCTTTAGGTTCTCATTGTTGAGGTGTGTAATGTTGTTCTGATAACTGCTGTTGGGCTGCACCTTCTTGGAGTTTTTCTTTTTGGCAGATACAGCTGCGATGCGTTTCCAAGGCAGCACTGAAATGATGGAATGGCGCTTCAGGCTCTTATCCTTGGCATTCTTACTGTTCTGGACTGCAGTATAATGCCCCACTGTGGTTGAACCATCCTCGGAGAGGGTGGCTTTCCGGTAACTGGGTGAAAGGCTCAAGACGGTGCCCATGGTGCACAGGCAGCAGGGAGCAGAGCAGAGTGGACAGAGCTGGGCGCTGTCACCACCAGGGCAGAGAGTCTCTGCTTCAACCCTGCTGGGTCTCCTTTCCGTCACAGCCTCAAATAGGATTCAGAAGTTACCTACCAAAGGCAAAAAGAATTCCAATAAACCCAGGCAGGGGTTGTTTTCTCCCAGATACGCAGCCTCCTGCTTTTCGGTAATACTAACCCCATTCAATTATATTCATGACTAAGAGCGTTGTTGTGTTTATTATTACTTTTATCCATTTCTCCCTTCCAAATTAAACTGTTCTTGGGGACAGGGAGACAAGGGGGGAGGGAACATAACACCTAACGTGGACACATGCAAAGACTGCCCTGTGTGATGGGACCTTGAATTTCAAGCCCAAAGCTTTGTAGGATGCCACACACACACACACACACACACACACACACACACACACACATCAAAGACTTGGCTTCATTATCTATAAATGGCCTACATATTACTCCATGAAAGACGAAGGGAAAAGCTAGGTATCTTTAGAGAGGAAGGCTACCGAGATAGCCTTGCCCCAGTGTTTTGCTGGCAAGTGTATATAGGTGTATTAGGGATGCTTTCAAGAGAGGGAGCCATATTAGTTGGCTGCAGCAAAACAAAGAATCTCTTAGCACCTTGTGGAATAATTGATTTATCATGGAAGATGTCAGGTGCTTCTCCATCTCTCTAAAATAAAAGGTCTCTTTCCGTCCATACGCATGTAAAGACAGAGGGAGAGAAAGATCAGTCATCCATGTTTTTAATTAGACCCCCACCATGCATATTTCCCCCACTCCTGCCTGCGTACCAAACAGCTAGAAACGGTAGTACCTTTAAGAGGATAAATATTTCTCTTTCACCAAATCGCCTTTCTTCTCTCCATCCAAGCTTTGCTTTTTTCCGGGCGCGGGCGCGAGATAGCGCTGGGCTCCCGCACGCCCTCCCACCCGCCGCAATATTGCTGCATTCCTCCCCTTTCCCCCCCCCCCCCCCCCCCCCCCCCCCCAAAGGCGCGATGGCGCCTGTCCTCCTCCTCCTCCTCCTCCGTTCCCCTCCGTGCCGCGGTGTCTCCGTGGTACCCACCGCACTGCGCGTCCTCCGGGCACCGTGGTTTCTGTCCAGGGTCCTGCAGCACCGGCTCGGCTCTGGGGGCTGCGGGGAAGCGGCAGAGGGGCGGATGCGAGGCCGTCCAGCTTCCCCAGCCCGGCTCCGCCGAGTCAAACGAGGAAATGCATGCAGAAGTTCGTCCAGTGATGCAGCGGCACACGGAGGGTGCCTGCTTGTCTGCCGGCCCGAGTGCCGCCCCCAGTGCGCCCCCTGGACTGGCCAGTCGCTCCCTCCCGAGAACGGTGCGGGGAGCCCCGACCGGCTGGTGAGCAGCCTTCCTCGGCACCGACTCAGCTGCTTTGCCGGCTGATTCACCGCGCCGCCCGCCTTAATTCCGACCAGACGGCGCTCGCTAAGCCCGCCTAGCTCCGCCTCCGCCCTCCCTTCTCCTCTCACCGTATCCGCAGCGCGCCTGTAAAGCAGGGCGACCCCCGGCGGACACCGACCCAGCGCGGCCAAATGGCATTCACAGCGCCCTCAGCTTCCCGCCTCCCCGCACTGAACACTGTCGGAGCGCGCCTCTGCGCGAATGCAGAGCGAAACGCCGGATTGGTGGCCTAGAGACAGCCGGTTCCTTCTAGGGGAGCGTTTTCTCTCCACTGAAAGGACTCTCTGTAAACTCTCACGCTTCAGCCAGCAACCAGGGCTCCTTTTGAACAACGCACCGTGCGTCCTTTATTAAGCCAGATTGAGCTGAACCCTGGGGCTTTTGGCCTGAATGCTGTGCATCCGCTAAATCGTGGTATTTTGTTCTGCTCGTAAGTTCTAAACAATAATGGAGGGACTTCAATCTTCCTAGACAAATTACACTGTGACCCAGAACGTATGCAAAGAATAAATAACTGTCACCTGAGGAACTATTTTCAAATTCATAACAAAATGGAGTGCCTTGGCAAGCTCTAAAAGCTCTAAGAAGCCCCCTAGTTCTTCGTTGGAGGTTTAACCCTCCGATAACTATTGTCATAAAAGATTTTACACCCTTCCATGATAAAACATTGGGGAAGATTCCTGGTGAGCCAAATAATTCATTTTTAATTAAATCAATCAACAATGGAATGTCTAACATCAAATAATTATCCCAGGTAGAAAAATAGGCTCAAGATTTTAATGCTCTTTTTAAAATGGCAACCACTGTGGTGCCATATTGAAAGCATTGGGCCAGCATGGGAGAGTCTCAGGTCTCTTGGCCACTCAGCCACAGCCACAAAAGCCCTCTGAGTGCCTTTGGCCCAGACTCTTCCTCAGCTCAACCTGCTTCACAAAGTTGTGGAGAAAAATGGCCTTTAAGGGATAGAAGTATGCCCAGCTTTTTTGCTGTCCTCTATGAATGACAAGGTATCAATCAATCAATCAATCAGAGTTAATAAAACTGGGCTGTAGCAGAATTCAGAAGAGTATATCTAGAGTACATCTCACAAAGACAGAGGATATAATTGCTTTCAAACCAGAGTCAGCCCTCAGCTAACTAGCCTGGATTCAACTCTGGACCAACAGCTTTTCAGAATGCTTGGGTCTCTTCAGCATCATTCGAGAACTTTACTTCAAAAACAGCTGATGTCGCAAAGGGGAAAAAAAACCCTTCAAAATGAGGAGGCTGTGGCCACAGGGATAAAGACACTGTCACTGGGCTACTTCTTCCTCTGCCAAGCATCCATTTTGGCTGCCTACTTTTAGACCTTGTGCTGGGTACTAGAGTTAAAGGAGGGGGTGGAGGAATAACCAAAAACCTTGCCAAGAAAATTGGGGGGAGCTTTGTTGCCTTTGAGTTAATGTTGACACCAGCAACTGTTTGGACTAGCCCCTGAAGTTTTCTTAACAAAGTTTAAGGGAAGTGCTGCAAGTGAGTGATCTGCCCAAGCTTCATGTCCAAGAAAGGATTAGAACTCACAGTCTCCCTGTTTCTAGCCTTAATACTACACCAAACTCATTCATTTGCTTAGAAAATGGCAAGAATGACTAGCTTTGAAGACCATGTTAAGCCATGTCTAGTTTTAAACCTTTCATTAAATATAACATGATTGGAACTTCCAGTGATGTCATCCTCATTGACGGACCAAAGACCGCGATCATCCGTGGCTTCGATCCATGCTCTCCTGTCAAAGGGTCCTGATCGACTGGATCTGGGGCCGGAGCCACCCTGTAGGGGTGGTAAAGTAAGGGGAGACTGCCAGCTGAGTTGAGGGAAGCCATATCTCCCCTCCTTGGCTTGGCAAACACTCCCCCCAAAGACAGTTGTAGCAGTGGTCTAAAATGGCCACCCTGAAGAGGAAGAACTAGCCGGGATAAGATTGTGCAGGAGTGGTGAAAAAGAGGTCTGCTTGAATAACTGGACTAATATGGTGCAACATCTGAATACAAGGTACTCCGAAATTAAATTTTAAAGAGTTTCTAAGAGAATTAATTAAAGCAGCAGACAAAGACTGGGGGGGGGGGGGGGTTTTTGTGACAGCTGAAAGTGGCTTTGAATATTGAAAGAAAAGACTGAAGAAGATATCTGTTTAAATTGGAGAATATACCATCTTGACACTAAATAGGCAAATCTAAAGCTGAATTTGAATGTGTCAAAGGAAAAACAAAAATATATTAACTGATATATAGACTTATTGGAACTTTGGATTTAGAAGCCCTAAATAGAGGGAAAAAAATGGAGAAAAAAGGGTGGAAATTGGACATAACAGAGACTGCCACCTAGTGGCAAAATAAATTACTCGTGAATTTCTATAACCTGGATCTTTCAAAGGCTGGATTAGATACAAAATAAGTGAAATCTTGCTACAACAAACAGAGCCCCTGGAAAGCGAATGTGGAATATTGAACTTTGGGAGAAAAAAGAAAGAAGCCGGAAGAAATTGATTTGGGATTGTTTGATGATTTTGGCATAAATATAAACTTATGGATATTGGATTACTTGATGGAACTGAAAAATCTAAAGAATTAATAAAAGCTAATCTTTGGAAATAAATCTTTTAGACTGAATTAAATCACTGGTTAAAAATGGCAGAACTTTTTTCAGAATTAAAAATGGAACTGAGAAACATGAAAGAAAAACTACAAGAAAGAGGCAAATCATTTGGCTTTGCTTTACAATTTTTAGAAATGGCGATTTCAGAGTATGAAGAACAACAAGGAGTGCCAGAAGAAGAGGAGGAGTTGATTAAAGAAGAGGCCATTTTTAATGAGCAATTGGAGCAACAAGGTTTAAAGTGAAAAGGGAAAAAAATGGGAATTAAATAGATTTGAGGAGGTAATTAAAAAGGGGAATATTTTGAAAACCAAACAAAGTAAAAGGAAACAGCAGAAAAGGGACCTGCAGAAGGAAGTCTTAAAAAGAGAGGGGTATAAAATTGGAGTAAGAAAAGAAGGGGGAAAATGAAGGGGGAAAAAGCAATAAAAAACAGAACTAGGAAATAAAGATATGGAAATCAAACAAAAATGAAAAGAAATTGTTTATTTAAGAGACATAGAGATAATGGTCAACTAAGAATTGAGAAAGAGGATACTGCAAGGTGTTAAGGTGTAGTATAAATATATTAGAAGTACTAAATTATTTAGAAAGTAGGAAAATATAGATTATTAAAATGAAAGATTGGAACTGATATTTTTTGTTATTGGAATACTGGATTTTTCTTACATTAAATATTGGGATAAACTACTGTGGGAACTACTGTGATAAAAGAGAAATTATGATAAACTTATTATCTAAGTTTGATAAAGTTATAGAATATGATTGAAATGAATTATGAAGATTGTTGTAATGAGATTATAAATGGGGGGGAAATAGAACAAAGAGAAATTATGATAAGTTTAATAACTATTTCTAATGAATTTATAGAATAGAGTTGAAATGAAATATGAGAATTGTTGCAATGAAATTAATAACAGTCTTTTATGAAGAGTTGAATAGATTATTTTTTCTTCTTTAAATTATAAATGTTTTTGATGTAATTGAAGGGGAAAACACCATGCAGAATCTGATGTAAAA